CCCACATGGTGGCATGGTGCACTGCCATATTAGAGCATGGCTAATAGTGACTGCGCCCACGAGTGTCGCTGTTCTTCTTCGAGGCGTTTCCGAAGAAACTAACTCACAGCTGCTCTGGGTGGCAGACATGTTGAAGGTTCAGAACTTGTTCAGATCCAGATCCAAAGCAACAAGTGTTGTGCTGCGCGTCTCCTCATTTCACACATGGTTTCCGGTCCCCTTTCTTATTCAATCACCATGTCAAGATTAATAGCCTCTCGACAATGACATTCAAAATCCATGTGGCATCACCTACTACTACGTACTACTCCCTCCGTTCCGAATTACTTGTCGCACGTATGGATGTATCTAGATGTAATTTAGTTCTAAATACATCCATTTCAGCGACAAGTAATTTAGAACGGAGGGAGTACATGTATTAACCCACCCAGGAGTTAATTGCTATGAGATAACACAGAGTGCTCGCTTGTGAGATGATAAACTACGGTAATCCGTGGGTGAGCAGTAAATCAAAAACAATAGCAAAAGAGTTCAAATAATCTGAGTTTTTTTACTTACAAGATGCTCGAGTACACTAAGAGCAACTCCAACGGAGCGACCCATTTCGTCCGCTGGAGTCCGTTTGGGTCGGCGCGGATCGGCACGGATACAAAAGTCGGCCCAACGCGCCGACCAAACGGACGCGTCTCCGCTTTTCGTCCGCGAGCGACTCATTCCAGTCTCATTTTTTAGCCGGATTTACGTCGACGCAGACACGAGACGGACGCGCGTGCGCTCGCCTTCTCCTCTCCCGGGCCGGCTGGTCGGTGGCACATTGGCCTCCCCTCATCCAACAGCAACCCTCGCTCGCCTTCTTCGTCGCCGACGCTGCCGCCCATTTTTTTCGGTGACTCTGCCAGCTACCGGTGTCGAAACATCCGCTCAGCAACGCCGGCACCTCCCACGTCACCTGCCACCACCGTCTTGCCACCGGGGAACCGACTGCTTCCCACCCCCGCTCCTCCTCCTCCTCCCCCCCCTCCCCCGACACAGCCGCAACCGTGACCAAGAAGCCGCCTCGTCGCCCCGGCCAGATCCTCATCGACACGCTCCTCGGACGCCAGCCCGCTCGTCAGACGCCGACTGGGCAGCTAGCTGGTCCGTGCCCGCCGCGACTCCGTTCACCGGCCGTCTTCTTCGTTGACGCCTGCAAGTTGTTTGACAGTTTGCCAAGGTACAAAATGGACTCCGCCAACGAGTTCTTTTTTCACAATTTTCTTTACGACTCCGACGATTCGTCGTCCGATGACGAGGAGGAGATATTGGCTGCCGTGTTGGTCCGTCACCACCTCAATAGACAGCGACAGTTGTTCCATGGATCCATTCCGGGCCACCTTCGGGCGTTGAATCGCAACCGAGAGAGCGGACATCTCCTTATTTGGAAGTACTACTTTGATACAAAAAATCCGTTGTTCAAACATCAGAAATTCCGCCGCCGTTTCCGTATGAGTAGGCACCTTTTCAACCGTATTAGAGAGGGGTTGGTCGGCTACGGTGACTACTTCGAGTGCAAAGAGGATGCCGTTGGAAAGATTGGTTTCTCCTCTTATCAGAAAGGCACTGCCGCAATCTGAATGCTTGCATACGGAGTGCCCGGTGATCTCATTGGTGAGTATGTCCGTATGAGCGAGTCTACATGCCTAGAGTCCCTGTATAAGTTCTGCAAGGCTGTTATTGCTGTGTTTGGCCCTGAGTACTTGAGAGAGCCGACTCCCGAATATATAGCCCATTTGTTGGCCATGAATGCCAGCAGAGGCTTCCCTGGGATACTTGGCAGCATAGACTGTAAGCACTGGAAGTGGAAGAACTGCCCTTCTGCTTGGCAAGGGCAATTAAGGGTCATGTCAGGGCTTGCACTGTCATACTAGAGGTCGTGGCATCTCAAGATCTCTGGATCTGGTACTCTTTCTTTGGCATGGCCGGATCACACAATGATATCAACGTGCTTCAGCGCTCACCGGTGTTTGCTAGGCTAGTCGAAGGCAACAGCCCGCTAGTGAACTTTACTGTCAACGGTCACAACTACGACAAAGGATACTACCTGAGTGACGGTATCTATCCTCAGTGGACCACTATTGTTAAAACAATCCCAACCCTGTTGGAGAGAAGAGAAAAAGATTTGCCCAAGAGCAAGAGAGTGCTAGGAAGGATGTCGAGCGTGCCTTTGGTGTTTTGCAATCTCGATGGGGCATCATTCGGTATCCTGCTAATACCTAGAACACGCAGAAACTGTGGGAGGTGATGACTGCTTGTGTGATCATGCACAATATGATCGTAGAAGATGAGCACCCGAAACATCTGTACAATCAAGGGTTTCGGTTTCAGGGTGAGAATGTTGTGTCTGAGCATAGAGGAGCGGCAATGTTTGAACAGTTCACCCAATTCCATCATGACATGTGTGATTGGGAAACTCAAGTGCAACTGCAAAATGATTTGGTTGAGCATATGTGGGCTCATGTTGGCAAACAATAGATGTATCTTCTCTATTCGGCTTGCAAAACTATGTGAGACATTTTTACTTGTATTCGGCTTGTAAAATTATGCTATTTTATTCGGTTGAAACTATGTTATTTGACTATATGTTTGAATGCAAAAGCAATGCAAAAATGAGCTATTTGTTGAAATAGGGCGCCCAGCCGGCCACACCGGCAGATATGGGTCGGCGCGTTGGGCGCACTGCCGACCCAAATCTAAAACAGGACGGACGCCGGACGGGCGGCCGACCCAAACGGACAAAAAGCGAACAAAATCACTGTCCGTTTGGGTCGGCCCGTTGGAGTTGCTCTAAGAGCGTGCACACTTTCGAGGTGAAATGACATTCAAGGAGCTCTAGGCAACAAAACCAAAACCGGGTCTCCAAAAAGTGCCATTTTTTGAAGTTTCTCTCAGGGCTAAATTTTGTTTTTTTCTTCTTATCTATAGCTCCTCGAATGTCATTTGTTCATGAAATTTTCCACCCTCACAGCGCACTCGAGCATCTCAGAGGCCAAACACATCAGACAATTTTTGATACTTTTCGAATTTACTGTTCATGGAAAAAAATGCGGTGATCTAAGTCTAGAAAAGCATGATTGGTGCCACAGATAGGTTGGCATCATGGCAGCGAGCCAGTAGACAGATCATCTTTTGAGAGAGGATTCGTTGGGTATCCTGTAGCATCTCGCGATGCAGTTATGTTGGGTATTATGTGTGCATGCGACCTGGGTCCCCGCACACATAACTAATGTTGCTAAAAACAACATAACTACTATCTACGTCTAGGTGTATAAGTCATCTTACGAAAATCAAATAATCTCAATTCATTTAGACGTGTTGCAATAACTTTCACCTCGTTTCTTATTTTTTGACATAAATAAAGGAATCAACCAATAAGAGATGTGGGGCGTGTATGATTTCAATAACTTGAGACTTCCAAACACGACATACAGTGGTGGGTTTATTGCATGCAATACTATTAATTAGCAAATAAGTATTAAATTCTCTCATTTTTCCCTTCGCCTTAGTCATGGTGCACAACAATCATAGTGGGGAGTAACTTAGACTAGTAACATGCATATGTTACTAGTCTATGTTACTACCTTCATAATGGGGATGTGTAGTGCTACCATCTATGTTACTCCCAACCTCTCCCAGCTAGTCATATTTTCTTGGTAAGTCATGTTACAGTAACTATCTATATTATCACATGCCTCTTTTTCCTCATTAATTACTTGCCACATCATCGATAGAGATGTGTAGTGTTACCATCTATGTTACTTTCATTGTGGGTAGTCTAAGATGACTTACACATCTAGACGGAGGGAGTATACAAGATTAATCAAGTGATTGTCATGTATTAATCACTCTTAGCATGGATTAAGGAATCGTAACTTTGCACACGGAACACGTGGTATGCAACTCAAACTTTTTGAGATAGCTAACAGGGCCGTTCCTAGGGATTTAGAGGCCCTGTGCAAAATTGAAAATCAGGCCTTATATATAATATAATTTATTACTTGGAACAAATTATATAGAGCACAATGTTAATATAATTTTCCAGAAATTATATCCGATGAAAAAGTGAATCTCAAACTTTGAATGCCTTCAATTTTCGCAGAAAAGTGGCATCTCCTTTTGCGTTTTTTGGTAATATACCTATCTCCATTCCCAAATATCAAACATAATATGGAGTCAAATTTCTCTAGTTTTGACACTATCCCCTAATAAAATTGTTGCATTTGTTCAAAAAATTATGCCAATAGGTTTGACATGGAAACTTATTTTTTCATAATTACCTACTTCGTATTCAAACACAAATTAGCAGGCAAAGTTACTCGTTACAAACTGCAAAATATCCAAGAATATCACTATCTATTTTGAAAATTTAAGAGTATACATAATCTTCAACTATTTCCCAACCCCCTTAAAAATATTGTTTCCCGTTCATGAGTATTCACAATGGTTGACAGTAGCTACCCATTGCTTGGTTCATTCGGGAACTGCAAAAAATTAACTGGTACAAGACGGAGATTGAAGAATCTAGGAGTATCCACAAATTTGAAGAGGAGAGAGAAGGGGGGCATACACAAGATGGAATCTGGTAGACGTAGTACATGATTATCTCACAAAAACTTTAATTAGCACTTGTTTTTTAGGGGTTTCAATTAGCACTTGTACTCAGCCAAATTTGGGGCCCCTACGATCTGGAGGCCCTGTGCAGGTGCACACCCTGCACATGCTTCTGGTACGGGCCTGATAGCTAACCACTTATTCCAGGCGGTGTATATGCAACTCAAACTTGATACAAAAGGATTTGTAACGTAGTATAGTAAGGATATACCGGCATAGCAGGTTGGCGTGGCGCCATGCCATTGGACGGCGTAGCTTATAAAGTTCGTCGGCATGCCGCGTAGTATCTCTCATTTCACAACGGATATAGCCTACCTATCTTGGCAGTAGACTAGAAGGCAGAGGCAGAGGGCATGGTGGACGCCGGGGTGACGGGCGTGCTGTCGAAGCTGGGAGAGGTGGCGTCGGCGGAGGCGACGGCGCTGCTCCGGGTGGACGAGCAGATCCGGGAGCTGCGCCGGCGGCTGGTGTACCTGCAGGCGCTTGGCCGCGGCGCCGACCAGCAGCGGCGCGGCCGCGCCAGCGAGCTGCTGCTGCTGTGGGCGCAGGAGACCCGGGAGGTGGCCTTCGAGGTGGAGGACGCCGTCGACGAGTTCCATCTCAAGGTGGAGGCCTTCCAGTTCAAGGCCAGGCGGGGCCACTCCTGGTACCACTCGGCTCTCACACTGCTAAGCGGGCTCGCCATGCAGGTAATTAAATAATTACCAGTCGGCTAATCTTGATTAGGAGCAGTAAGTTTCTCGGGTTAGCAAAGATGATGTGTTTCTGGGGTGGGCAGATTGCTGCAAGGCATGGCCTGTCAAGGGAGATAACAAAGATCAACGGAAGGATCAAGGAAATCGGTGAGATCAAGGAAACGTATCAGATCCAAAGCTCCCCGGCTGAGATATGGAGCGCGTCCTCCGTTGATGCCGCCGATGCTTACTGGTATGCAATCATCGCCGGTCATTTTCTTTGTCCTCTCTACTGCTACCTCCATTCCAGAATAGTTGAAGTACCAGTACTGCCTCTATTATTTGTATCTATCTATTATATACAAAAAGCAGAATGCATCGATCTTGTGCATCTAGTGCAATTATAATTACAATTTCATACTCCACAAATAAACATAACATCTAGTGCATCGATCTTGTGAACTATCTCTTTATAAGTGGATCGCAACCGTTAGATCTACATAATCATATATACCTAAAGGATCATACCCATTAAATCTATACAATCGTGTATAAATAGGTTACATGGCCTTTTGAACTTCATAATTGCACCTAAATAGATCGTAACAGCTAAATCTCTATTACTGTATGTAAATTGATCTTGTACCTTAAATCTATACAATTACATCCAAATAGATCATATTCCAAAAATCTACATAGTCATAGCAAAACTGTTAGATATTGATAATTGTATGTAACCAAATCATAAACAATCGAGAGAGCATTGCTATGGAATCAAAAGCTTTAGTTTGTGCTAGTAATTTATTTGTTTTTTTTTAATATTTACACAATTATATATGCAAGGAAGAGCAATGCGAGGAGGTCCAAAATAAACAAAAACAGATTACTCCTTATTGGCATGCAAGAAATGACAAATGAACGTGGAGTTGTAGTTCTATGCTAAGAGCATACATCAACTGATCTAGCGGGGCCGGGCACGCAAGGTGCTAATTAGTTTGGGTTTCAGTGCAGCTTGATGGCTAGCTAAATAAATAGATTATTGAAAAAGGAATCAAAATCATTAGATTTTTGGTTTAAATCCACAATTATTTTTTATTATTTATTATAAAGGAAACATTATGGCTCACCCGACTGATTATCGTTGCCTCGTCTCCCACCTCGGGCGCATGACACGTGTTCGTGTGAGATCTCGGTCTGGATTGTAACATGGTCCATGTTTCAGTCATCAGAACACTAACACAAGCCGAAACCCGTTCTTCCACCCATCCTTGCATCGCCTCGCCTCGTGTCTCTCTTGCACGCACGCATGGAAAATAAAAGTCAAAATGCACGTTTCAAAAACATCAACTTTAAAATTCCATACATTGTGCTATGAACGTGGTAAATGGGAGTAGAATGTCTAAATGAGATAGAAAGAGGGGAGAGCAGAGCGGTCTCGCGACTAGGGTTTCCCCGTCCTCCCCTCCCGCTGCCGCCGACCCTCCCGCCGCCGCTGGCCGTCGGCCTCGCGCCCCCTCCGCCCCCTTCCGCCCCTCCCCCCTCCCCCCTTCCTGTCCGCCTCGCGTCGCCTCCCCGGGAGGTGGCCGGGGCGGAGCTCGAGCTCCTCTTCCTCGGCCCCCTTCCCCTGTGTCTCCCCCCGCCGCCGCCGGCGGGCGCTCCCGGCGCTGGCCCGGGTGGTGCCGGCGGCGGCGGGCCTTCT